CAGAAGCATCAGGGGCACCTGGCACCAAGGTTAGTATCAGCCCTGCAAGTGACTTGGGATAATGTAGGCATGGTTCTTAGCCACAGAGGCCACGAAAGATTTGGAAAGATCCCTAATGTTCTTTAATAAATTTACTTTCTGCTGAAAATAGCTGAAACTGATTCCAAACACCCAGACCGATACATTTCATTATATCAACAATTTAAACATTCTTGATTTATTACTTTATTGTCTTAGCCTAAAGTTTGCCATCAGGTCCTAACGGAACTCAATAGACCACTGATCCCGGCTAAATCTGAGGCTGAATGGGATCTCAAGATCTGAGAGCTGTCCTGGATCCACTGGCACATGGAGGATCTGAGAGTTGTATTGGTTCATATTCCATATCTTGGAACATCAGGTTTTAAGGCATTTTTGGAGATGAGCACTGGAATTGCATAGTATACGCTGGCACTTCTTGGTGAGGTCATATGTTTCTTTAACCAATCAATTACGGCAGTAATTCTCAGCATTTTTCATCTCAGGTCTCCTTCACTCTTACAACTGACTAAGGACCCCACCAAGCTTTGGTTACCTAGATGATACCTACTGATATTTCCTGCATTTGAAGTACTGCAGTCAAAGGGTCAAATAGGTTTAGTCTTATTATGAAAATGGTTTCTATAACACCTTGCAGACTCTCCGAAATGATTTCAGGGAGCCCCAGGGAACACTGGCTCTCTCTATGAAAACCGTGGAATTAGGTATTTACTGAACACTTGCTGTGTGCACAACATTGAACTGGGCTCTATGGTAAATTTGGAAGTTCAGCTGAGGGCAACAACAGAAGCAGAGGCAGAGCCATGGGAATGAGACTACTATGTTGGCAGAAGAGGAGGAAACCAACCAGGCCGAGCCCTTTGAAGTAGCGAAAAAACAATGACATTCACTTGTAAGATCTAAATTTACCCTAAATGCCTCTGGGCAATGCTCCTTGTTCAGAGGTTTTGCTATAAAGAACTATAAGAGAAAGCCTTTTGTTCAAAAAAAATAATAATTTTGTAAGGATTAATTTTTTTTCTTTTATAGATAAAATTGGTTTCAAGTGATGCAAGGTGGGTATATTTAAGTGATTGTCATTTCCCAGCAGTAAGAGGAAAGGTAATTTCCTTCACAGGATCTAGTAAAGGGCAAAGAGATAAGATAATGCGAGACTATGTCTCTCTTTGCCATTTAGTTCACGTGGAATCAAGTGGAACATTTGTTTATTGTTAAAGGAGAGTGAAACTCTCCACCCCAGTGTTCCTTGTGCTTTCTGGGAAACCTCAGGCAAATATCTCACCATTTAGGTGAGGGTCTCTTCTGCCAAGAGCCGCCCTTCCCACTACTTCTTGGAGGAGCTCCAGGCTCTGTCAAGTGCCAGGTGACTCACGGCCACTTCTGTGGGGCTCCTCCTTCCCAGGTCATGTCAGCATAGTGCAGAGAGGCAAAAAGACCTGGAGACCATCCGCTTCTCTCAAAGAGCAAATGCTAGTGACTCATATCCAAGCGTGTGTTATCAGTGTTACTCGGAAATTTCTGAGAAGGTTCAGTGATTCAGGAAAAAACACAGCTGTAGCTTCCAGGAGTCACCTTTCCAGAGAAAGTGAAATTCTGGCCAGAGAATATATGTGCAGAATAAGATGTACGTACATATGGATGGTGAAATACATATAAATTTCATTTAAAAAATTAAATGAGTAAAAAATAAAATATGGTAAAAACAACTAACCGTAAAAAGCACTGGAACGTATATATATCAATGCCCCAAAGCATCAGTTAACATTTTATCCTATTGTCTCATTTTAAATAAAAATTTGCCATGAAATAATGTAGAAAAATTCAGTTTCCTTTGTACCTAGTTCATGGACCATTGGCCTCCACACATCCCCGGAGGTAACAACTAGCATACATTTAGCCACCCCTGACTTGCCACTGCCTCTTTCACTTCCCCTTGGTTTCTGAATTCTGTTTCTCTACACCACCAACTCCCCTGCCACTCACCTCTCTTTTAAGATCCATGTCAGTTGTCCTCTTCTCCATGCAGCCTTCCCTGGCTCCGCAGAGCAGATGCTGTGCTGCCTCTCCTCCTGCATGGTGCATCTCCTTGAGTTGGGGGTCGGGCACCTTGTCTCATTTGCATAGGTGTCTCCAACAACTTGCTGAATCCCACACAGGGTTACTGAATGAAGCACTGAGGAAAGGAAATGGGGCGGGTTGTGAGAAGCACCCAGGTTCCCACATGCACCCAGTATTTCCTCACCCGTTACAGTCCCGGCTTGCGAGGTGCTCTTAACACCTTGTCACCACTGCAACAGACATGGACAACCCACTCTGTCCCTCGCCTCACCTTCCCATGGGGTTAGACTGTGTCCAGTGTGCCAACAGCTAACACTGGAATCTAGCCCCGTGGGGAGTGGACTTCAGCTCCAAGCCACGTCTAACAAGCTGGACAAGGCTGATCCCTTACCTTGGCTTCCCCAAATCTGGCCACCCAGAACCAACTCATTTCGTCCTGAGAATGGGAGAAGTGGTGTCTTTGGGAAAAAACAAGAAGTTTTTTTTCTATTAAAAATGCATACATATCTCTTTGTATGCATTGCTTTTCTAGGCTATAATCAAATCCTTTGTTAAAACAAAAATGCCAGCAAAACAGCACGCAGGCATTTCGTCATATTGTATTTTCTTCCATGCAGGTATACATGTACACTTAGAAGGCACCCGAGACCATCTGTCCACACGCAAGGACACATGCACACACGTGTGCACCACCCTTAGAAACAAGGAAACTCCTGGCTATCACTCTTTCTTCAAGCATGAAGGCTTAGAAACAATTTCTTTCATCGTTGCTCTAAAAAAGAGCAAAGGCAAAAAGGCCAATGATTGCTAAAATTAAACTCTGCAAGGACTAGAGTCCTTGTATGTTTCGTTGCCTTAAGTATTTCGAGAGCATGAAATGGCATCTGAGACAGAGTAGGTGCCTAGTGTTTGATGAGACAGAATGAGTAAGTCAACGAATGAATGACAAAGAAGCGCAACACTGTGCCAAATGGGGAGGCTGTCACTTTTTGGCATTTTATACTATCAGAGACTCAATCTACATGGAAAGGTGAGTGCAGGTTGGGCAACCCACTCACCCACCACTCATTTGCCCACTGGGCTTGCATAATATTTACTCTAGAAAGCAGAGTGTGTGACCAGGAGTGAGGAAACGGGGGCAGGCAGGAGGGGGAGCAGAGTTAATGTACAGAAGCCAGACTTGGGAAGTCCAGATGAGAGGAAAGAGCCAAAAAAATAAGTTGTAAAGGACTGGAATTTAGTCAAGAATAGTGGAAAGATTAAAATGGTAGCAAATAATGCTGATTTGAAATATCCATTCCTGGCCATAATAATAAATGATATTGCTAAAAATTATGTCTAGGCCATTCTTACATTTTTAGTGAACATTAAATCATTGTTATCTACATGTCTGTGATGTAGATCCTTTCTTAAAAGAAGGGAGATGAAGCTAAGTAGTGAATATTTATTTTATACTTCTTTGGAGACATTTACTAGAATTCAGCTGGAATTGGAAATTAGCATAATTGGAAATTCAACATACAGTAGTACACAGAAAAATCTCAATTCTTAATAAAACTGATCAAATCTTATCACAAGTCCTCATACCACTAGTTTGGGGGTGGGGGGAGCGCAAAATTACCAAATAAAAAGTTCCTCTGTCTCTTTCACGTTGGTGTAGGCTCTTTCGAATAAACACTTAGTGAAATTTATGTTCAAACTTCTACTAAGGGTGTTTCCTCTCAGTGGTTCAATCCACTCTCTTTTCCTTTCCAAGATATCATGTGGGTAGAGGAAGCCTTCTGTGTTGCCAGATCCTGCCCTCGCCTCCACCACAGAGGCGCTATAGCCGGCCTGTTAGCATTATTCTCTCAGCTCTCTCCCTAGTTCCCCTCAGGAAGCTGGTGGAAACTTCCAGAGCTCTCCAAATATCCAGTCATGGAAAACTTTGTGAATTGTCATGGGCCTCTCTCTCTGCCTAAAAATGTCACCATACAATCACCCCTCCACTATTGTTCAAAGTTTAAGTAGGCTCACTGAGATTCTATTTCCGGATTTCTTTTTTTTTTTTAAGACAATCTCTAATTAGTATACGGGGGGAAAATAGCTAAGTTTAGAGCTACTGGCAGTTGAATTTCTTCAAGGTTTGATCATATACATTCCCAGCACAAATAAGATTCTGGCACGCAGTAAATCTTCAATAAGCATCATGAATCAGGGAATGAGGAGACTTTGACTGAACATTTAGCCACTAATGAGAGCAAAGGGAGATGGAGAAACTGATCCTCAAGGAATTCATGGATCTAGCAGTATGCAAAGCCAAATTTTACCCCTGGATTTTACAGACACTGTATTTGAGTTGAGCTTCTGTGGCCTGCAACCCAGTGATAAATAAAAAGGCATAACCATAATATAACTTGCATGAATAAATTTGAAAATCTAAAGTTATTCTTTGTAAGGAAAATATAATTTACCAATATTGGCTTGAGACAAGACAGAAAATCCAATTAGTTTAGTAAACACAGAAAAAATTAGATAGGCAAAAATCACCAAATAACAACTTTATGCAAGACCTTTTTTCCCATTTGATTAGGCAAGTTTTAAAAAAATATATCAAGGGTAGATAATTTTATGCAATAGACAAATGCTCCAGTTTCATCTTACTTATAAACCATTCAATCCAGGAATGAAAATGTGATTCGGTATTAGAAATCTTTAAATAAAATTCACTGAATTACTCCAATTAAGATACTGTTCTAATGCATGCTGAAAAATCTCTTCATAAAAATCTATACTTACTACTGTAATTCTCTCCAAATCAAGACTATAAATTTAGTGCAACCAAAAGCAAAACTTAAAAGAAAATTTTGAAAATCATTAGGAAGCCTTTTAGCCCCACCAAATGTGAAAACACACCAGAAAACTATAATCAAAGCAATACATTATTTATTAGGGATGTCAAATACTTCAATGAAAGGATTTAAAACATTTCAAATCAGTGAGAGAAGAATGGACTTCAGTAAACAGTTGTTGGACTTCTGAATGAAAGTAGCTATCTTACACTCTTCACAAAAATCGAGATGTTACATGATAAATGTCTTAGAATACAGAATATGCTTTATATTTTGAAATAAGTCATAAAAATTGTCATTTTGCCTATACATATAAAACATCTAAAAAAAGACACCATAATAAAGTTAAAGACAAGTGACCCTGGGAGAAAACATTAGCAACAGATATCAAAGACTAATATCTAAACTATATGAAAAAATCCTAACAAATGAATATTAAAAAAAAAGTCAATCAATAGAAAAATGAGCAGTGTAAAAGGTAATATAAAAATATAAAAATGGCCTAAAATAAACATTAGAAGATGCCCATCCTCACTAGCATCAGATTTTAAAATTAAAACAATGTTTTAACCCATTAGAGTAATAAAAAATTTAAAAATCTAATATCAAATGTCCTTAATGATATGGGGAACAGGTACCCATTCATTACTGAAGAGAAACTATAAACTGTTAATAGCCATTTTAGAAACTAAATTAAGTATCTCTTTAAAACTGCCTAACTCGGGCCCAGCAATTCAAAAGCTAAGCATATACTACAGAGAAATCTTTATATGCACATAGTAATACAGGATGACATTCTTTCAGCATTGTTTGTAATTAGAAAAAAAGAAAAAGGAATTTAATTAAGATGTCCACTATAGGCTACACTGACTGTGGAACACTATACAAAAGAGATTAGATATGATTATACTGAAATAAAAAAACAAGTAGAAAAAGTTACAGAATGATACACATATATAAAAAACCATACATTTTATTTCCTGTAGCTATATATGTCTATATATATATATTCACAGAAAAAGGTATAGATGGAAAGTTAAATGTCATACTTCTAGAGGGAGTTGAGATTGAAGGTCACTGTCAAAAAATAGACACGTTTCTGATGTTTTTACAAGTAAAATATTGTCATTTACTACATCTGTAATTTAAATTTTAAAGACAAAGCAGTATGCACAGACTGATATATTCTAAGAAAAACTATACATACAAATTATCTTTTGTATTTCTTTCTCTCTCCCTTCCTTGATGGCAAACACAAAGGTTCTAGAAGACCACCTGCCAAAATGAAGCTATAATACTATCTAAATAAAACAATATCTCCAATAAAAGCAATATTCAACTTCTGTGTTCTCATTTGAAAAAGAGAAGAAAATTCAAGATTTATAAAAGCAATACAATTTCAGTTTAGAGCTTATTATTTTGTTTTAGTTACAATCTTCACATGGTACATGATTATATACTGGAATTTTGCCACATCTTTAGAACAGTTTTGGGGCAGGAGGAAATATGATTTTTGAAATTAGAACTTAAGTCCTTGTTAACATTTCAGTCAGTGGCTTTATTAAGTTTACAGACACTTCTAAAAGAAAAACAAGAGTACAAACCAGACTGCTTATTTCTTTAGCAGCTTACTAATTCTACCTTATACATTAAACAAAAACACTTTGATATTCAAAGTTATCCCTGACAATTTCTTGTGAGAAATGTTTTTCTGGAAATTATTCCGTAAAACCTTCTTATCCTAATGATATTAGCATTAAAATACAACCAGATGAATTTTATGAATGACAGTACTTTTGAGTAAAGTAAAAATTGCTTTTAGAGCACTATGCTTTTAAGAATTGCTTATTTTTAATTCATGTATTGCTGAAGATTTGAACCATGCAAAGAAATTAATGATGGAAAAGAGGAACAATCAGAGCTATCTGGTTTTTCAATGGTTATGAGAAAAAAGTAGTTAGCAGTTTCTTGCCAGAATGGTTATTAGTAAGGAAGAAAAACCTTTGAAGAATATCGTCATAGAATTAAGAATTTCCCTAACCTATCCTAGATATCTGTTCGACTGTCTCTTACAGCAATTTACCTTGTAATAATGCCTCTCACGTTCCTGATAAAAGAACAAATTATTTTAGAGAGGCAGTGTCAGAAAATCTTGATCTGTCACTGAGATCCCGAGCTGACCTTAGCAGCTTCCTCTTTTGCATTATAAGAGGGCTGAACTAATATTTAACACACCTTCCAGCTCTAAGAGTCAATGATTCATGTTTTCATCAAAGGCCACCAAAGAAGGAAACAAGCTTTTTTACTTCATATCACGAAGGCACTTTTATAACTATATTATATATCAGTTTTATCTTCAATATAATTAAGCAATACTTTACAGGAAACATCCAGCAGTTCTTATGTTACAAATATTTGAAAAACATGAGTTGGTAATAATGATTCAAAAAGTCATATATGAGTAACTGATGGGAAGAGACTCAAAACAGATCACTTGAGTAGATTAAGTCTTTAAAACAAAAGGCTGGTATTTTATTTCAAGTAAGTATTTAGCATCATTAATGACTGACTAGTCAGTAGTGCTAGCATTTATTTTTTTTTCACAATCAAACTTGGAAAACAAAATATGAGTTAAACTGAACCCACTTAATATAAAGATTTTGATTTAATCACTTAAATTTATTTTTATAGCAAAGCACTTTTTATATAATTTAAAATACACATGCTTTGATTGAAGAGTGATTGTAAATGGATCCAGTTTTCTTCCACCTGTGATGACAACTTTGTCATTTCTTCTAGAAGTATGGGCTCTGAAGAAAGCACTTTTAGGTGTAACTGAAAAGAAAAATATAATAGTTGAACATTTAAGAAAATTAAATTTTTATTTTGGATTCAACTTTTTTTACTAAGGAACATCAGAAGACACTATTCTGAATATTTTTTTTTCTTAAATTCTGCTTTGTTACCATCTTCCATTTCCTTTTCCTCTATTTTTTTTTTTTTTAATTATTATGATTTCCTTGATGGTACTGTCACTGTCTTAGTAGAAATGAAGTGGTCGTCACTCTCCTCCACTTAAGGACAGTCTTGATTCAGATCCAGAAACAAAGGTTTAGTTCTAATACTAAATCCACATTTTTGTGCTTCTTTAAGTTTCTCCTCCCACTGTAACTCACTGGTAATAAATGCCAGATAGGCCCTTTGCTTTATTTTCTAAAGATTTAAGTAACTTTATATTCAGAACTAAACTTGGTAAATTTGGGAAAGGATATAGAAACAATTTGTGGCATTTCTATTTTTTCATCCCGCATGCTACTATTTAAACATCTACTTTTTAAATAATTTTAAATAATTAGATGAAGTAAGAACTCATTTTACATAGTAATGGGAGAGGTGAAGAATCACATCTGCTGTCATTGAAAATCAGCATCATCTACCTCCTTCAATACATTATACTACTGAAATAGACATGAGATCTCCATATTAGTCATAAAAGGAACTCTTTTATGGCCCTATCACGTGAACTCCTTCAACAAACACAGAAGTAAATATTATGATTTCAGCAGTAAAACAAAACAAAAAATAAATATAAAACCTGACTTTCTATGATCGTAAAAAAACTGCCAAAATGTAACTACTTTAAAAAAGTTAAAAAGTTAGTATATTAAACAAATAAATGATAGATAAGTCAGGGAGCTGAGTCAAAATTGTACTGAGTATTCAAAAAAAAAAAAAAGACTACAAAGCTGATGGTCCAGTTGTCCAACAAGGTAGTCACAAGGTATAGGAGGCTATTTAAATTTAATTAAATTTCAGTAAAATAAAAAATTCAGTTTCTCATTCACTTCAGCCACATTTTGAGGGCTCAGTAGCCACATGTGACAAATGACTGCCATGCTGGACAGTGCAGATATAAAACACTTCTATCTTTGCAGAAAGTTCTATCAGACAACACTACTCTAGAGGAAGGCAAACTGGGAATACTGTCCTCCATTAGACTTACCTTTAGAAATAATGCAAGGTATGCCTGGGCTAACTCGAAATCACGCTTTCTGTCCAACATCATCCCGATCATTTTTAAGAAACTCTGCATAACTTCTACAGACCCGCCATAATCAGGAGACAAGCTTCGCAGCTCTGTTTCAATTCCTGATGGGCCCAATTCTTTCAGAAGATTAAGAGCAGCTTCATCTGCATTGAGTTTTCAAAAGAATTCAGTTATTACTTATAATTACTTCACTTAGAAACCTAGTTTTCATTTTATACCCCAAGCAACATATATTTATATTGCATAGGAAATTCTATGGCTTAATTTTTTTCTCTTAAGTAGTAGAATAAACTCCAAATTAAGTAAACATCAGCATAAATGATGAGAGCGAATACAATTAAAAGTACTAAAAGTACTAAACTTTTTTGTATTTTCAGTAATTTAAGTTTTTTTTTTTTCCTGCTATTAAGGTTGTTAAAGAAAATCTAGTGTGTGCCTAGCAACACACTTTAATATGCTTATAAATCAGAACAAATCTAAATATAAGAAGGCTATAAAAAGTACATACTAAATTATTAACAGTAGTTGCTAATGGGAATAGAATGAGGTGGAGAACTTGTTTTTCTTTCTTTTTAATGTTATAAAAAATTACAAAGTACCACATAATCATTAAGAAACACTAACAATGCAGAAATATACGAAGGGAAAGACCTCATCTTATTCTTACCCACCCCACATTACTTCTTTTCTAGAAGTAAAGCACTCTTATTTCATAGTCATCCCACGAATACATGCTCTATACACTTACAACTATTTTTATATGGGGCATCTGAAATTATAATGGCAATGAGTATGCTTTCAGCTTTTTGAAAAGGACCACCACCAATAACAAAAGTCTAATAAATTTTATTTTCTGTTCTTCAGTGTATACTAATAATGCTTTTCTTCTTTGTCCCCCTCATAATAGTACAAGTTACTCCTTTTAGGATTATGCTATTCTTCAGTCATCTACAACGGCCCATTAGTACCATTCTTTAACTTAGCCAATGCGTACCCGAGTGATATTGGAACAAAAACAAAAGCCCTTGGATCAGAAAACAAGAAAGTAAGTCAAAAACAGGAGAGTGATTGTGATTTTGTTAATTGCTTATAGCTCTATTTATCATTATTAGCTACTATTAGCTACAAAATTTAAATCTATTATTAACACACTCAAAGAAAATTTTAAGTTGTCTTTTTATAGGATAATTTGGGAATACCTGAAATCGCCTACGACAAAAGTCTCTGCTATATTGCAAACTGTTTTTGTAAATAAAAACAAAGCAAAATCTAGAAAAAAGTCTAATTTTCATGACAGAAAGTGTGATTTTCAAAAGATTATTATAATATCAATATTATCTGAGTTTACGGCATTAATTTAATATAATAATACAAAAGCTAAAATTACTTCAGAGTAAAACAATTTCAATCCTTTTAAGTTTTTACTATCTTCTTTTAGCTAGAGAAATCTGCTAATATTTCATCCAATTTCTCTTTACATAAAGTAAAAAAAGGTAAAGTTATTGGTAAAATATTTATAATTTAACTTACATTTATTATTTACCAGTCCTTCTTCAAGTTTCAAGCAGAAATCCGATTTTTGAGCCAAAATTCCAAGATTTACTACTTTAGACTTAAACAAAAACAAATACACATTATTCAAAGAACACAAGTTTAACCACCAAAATGTATAGTTCATAATTAAAAGCTATCATTAACTTACTCTGCATGTATAAAATTGGGTCTTGGTAAAGAACTACAAATGTATAATATAAAACACACACCCCTATACTTAGAATGCTCTAATTTGGGTTCTACCTGTTGGGAATCATTATTTTGTTCAGGTGCAGCATATCTGGGTATAAGGCCAGGAACTGTTGGTATAAAAAATGGTGCTGATTTGGGTACTTTCGGTGGTTCCTTTGGTTTATTCTTTTTCTGAAGAGAAAATGAGACAGGGAAAAAGACTAGTAAGTAATTATCTTGCCAACGGTTTCTGATATTTAATTCCAAATCAATTTTAAAACAAAGTCCAAAAAGTAACAGGAAAAAAAAAAAAAGATTTTCAGATTAGAATGCTAAAATAAAATCTCACCAATCAACATCACAGATATCCTTAAACTGGGCTTCCCAATGCAAACCTCTTGTACCCTTGCTGATAAGGCAGAAGGAAAATGACAGGGTTCAGGAGAAGCCCTAAGACACACTTAGAAATTTGGAGCCAGAGGAAGACTCTGCCATTAGAAGTAATTAGGTGAAAATTTTTTTGTGAAGCGTATTTCCAATTCTTCTTTTTTGCTGGAATTTTAATTTATTTTTTCTTGTATTTTTTAAAAGCAAGAGAACACTATTGCTCATTTATAAAATATTTCAAATGTTAATAAAATTCAATCAGGAAAACTTCCATCAGATTTCCCACTGACGGAAGTTAGTTTTGGTGACTACATTGCTACATATCGCTATCTCAGGAGCATTTGACGAAGAGCCTTTCTACGGTAAACTGCCTAATAAAGGAGTCTCACAATTTTACCTTACATTATTCCTCTTCTATTCTTTAGCAGCTCTGTAACCCTAGGGAGATTTGCTTTTAGAGAAAAAGCCAGAGATATCTGTAGCCTCAGGGAGGCACACAATAAAAGAAAATTACTACATGAAAGCAGGATAACGTATTGCTAATTACAGTGTAAGCACAGCCCTTCTTTGGTATGGTAGAGACTAATAAGAGTCACAGTTACCCTTCTAACTCACTGCTCTGTAGTTAGAAGGGATACAGTCACTAAGTTGTAAGTAAAAATAAAAGGCTTTGGAGGAGGTCCATACTGCTCTGAAAGTTATCCAATCTCCTAAAAAAATCAAAAGTAAAAGAGTTACCCATTGGAGAAATACAAAAATTCTAACTTTTTTCATTCAGTAAGAAATAAATATATGGAAGGGATAAGCATATTTCTCTCATAAAGATCATTCACTCACGTTTCTAGGTAAGTTTTTATGCAGAATAAACTATACCTCAGCAAGAAGCGAAGTAGTCCAAAAACTTAGCTCAGTTAATTGGGCATTATTCTGATTGCTCCCTTCACACTCATCGACTTATACTTTTTAATGTGCTGCTTTTATAGTTATTCCATTAAATAATCCTTTATAGCTGACAGGTTAGATAACATTATAGAGAGATTTCACAACTATGCTCCTGAACGAAAAGTGAGCAAGTAAAAAGAAGCAACTTAAACTTCTGTGAGGAAAATTAACACGTCAAAACTTCTGTCTCTTCTTACTCAAGACACTCATATCTTTTTTGGTGCTATTATAAAAATACTTACCATACTTTGTCATAGTTATCTATTTCACTCCTTATATGTTTTTTATGCTATCCCCCCAATGTGACTTAGCCCACACATCTCTAGTGAATGTGTATATCTAACCAAAACAAGTGTCATAAAAAGACACTTGTCATTATCAGAGGATAACCTCTGAAATTTTCTACTGTAGTCTATTCCTTTCGACTGCTTTTACTATTCACAAATGGGGTGGGGGTGGGGGTCATGAGACGTACTTTGAAAAACAATAAGTAATGCCATAATTGTCCATTTTTCATGTGAAATCGTAATTTCCTCAAGTACAAAGGGGCCAGGTTTTTTTCCACTGCTGTTTCCTTAGGACATTACCTAGAACCTAGTTCATATTAACTTACATGTCTGGACCTGACACAGCAAGCTCTAAACATCCTGTAGTTGGTAGAGTAGGGTATGGAATGATAAAGGGTAACTGAAACTTAATGAGGAAAAATCAGGCAAAGTCTTCTAGTCTCCAAATGACTAGCAACAGAAATATCACACATTATGGTGGCATTTTTTGTTTGTTTTAGAAGTTAAAAAAGTAGTTTATGGCTAGGTTTAAAACATCCAATTTCTAATAGTTCTGTAGTTGTGGGCTGTACTTTTGCTACATACAAAGGTCTGCTGAGTGCTCTCAAAGTCTCTCTCCCTCTATATGTGTACACACACACATATGCAAAGAAAATCTTCTGATAATCACACTGGATAAAACAAGATTAAACTAAATGGCATTCTCTTTACTACTTTAAGTATTAATATTAATTGCTCCTCCTAAAGTGCTCAAAGTAGGGGAAGCTATCTCTACTAAAGAAAACGCTTCTGGAACGTGTCTTTTGGGGCTAATATTAAGTGTACTGTAGTATTACCTTAATAATATCAAGATTAAGAAGGTTCTTCCACCGTGATTCAGGAAGGAGTGACAGAGTCACCAACTGCTCATTCAACTGTTCTGGGGAATCATACTCTATCATTTCATCGCTTGGTTCTATGGTTTCTTCTGATAATTCTACATCTTAAAACAAAAATTTTCAGGTAAAACAAATTAAGATTTTTATTGTATAAAAGCAATTTAATTCATTCCAAATCCATTAGTGTTTCAGGTAAAACAAATTAAGATTTTTATTATATAAAAGCAATAAAATTCATTCCAAATCCATTAGTGTTTCCTAACAGGTTCACTCTAAACTCTGTTAGCCTTCTAAACTCTATTTCGTTTCCTCATTACTAGACTCAAAACTGTTCTCCACTGGTTTACTATTAGATATCTTATCAATGCCATATCAAACATATTTTTGCAAAAATTCATGAAGTCATTCAAAATATTTCACATCAGTTAAAAAATACTTGGATCGAGTGCATTAAACTTTGCCTTCAGAAGTAATATCCCCATGTTAAGTTAATGATATTACACTTTAAAAATTCTTTTACTGTTGTGTGATTACCTTGAGTTTGACAAGTACCAGGAAGCATCACGACTGAAGGAACATAATCTGTGGGAAGTGGCCGTAATGAAACGACTGAATACAGAGAAATATTGGACCTGAGAAATAAAAACATAAATGTTTTAAATAAGTTTAAAACTTATAAAAATAGTTTTTTCAGAGAAACTTCAATTACTGCTAATAATCTCTACAATCTTGAATTTGGCTATAGATTCCAATCACTCACAAGTTAAGAAAAGATCTCAAAGATAGACAGTATTAATTTGAAAATGCCTTGATTCATGTCATAGATGTACATAAACATTCTTAATGGCATCTTTACTTTTAATGAAGTATTTATTTGAGAGATCAATACTGGGTGATACTTTTATAAGGTAACATAACCTCCATATATTTATATTATTCTGACTTATGTTAACCTTCATTTGAGAAAATGTAAGTAAAGGAAAGATGGACTAATAGAGCTAAGTCAGAGAGAGAATATGCTGATGAAATCCTAAGGATTGCTAACAGTCATGGATTTTCCCTTCTCTAGAATAGTCCTCTAAGTGGCTATGTTTCTGCTACCTGATTATGTACCATGATCTGGATAACTAACCAAGATGTAGCTACTTGTCCCAAAGTGGGCCAATCAGATTCTATTTCCCATACGTTATAAATTTGGAATAGAAAATAAAAATCGGGAATAACAGGTTCTGAGTTATATTAATAGTGGTACTATATACTCCTGCTGTTGAGGTCCCATAGCTACTATTCTTCTCTTGACTGTTCAAGCTTCACAGATTCCAAGAGATACTCCATTTTACTTATTAACGTGGCCAGAGTCTGTTTCTACTATACAGTGAATTTACTTTCAAATCCTAAAAATCTAATTATAAAATTTTATAATTAAAAAAATATATTTTTTTCTCTCCCTCGATAACAACAGTTAAAAGAATTAGACATCTGAACTTAGGAAATAGACAAAAGTTTCTCTAGACCCAGATGCTGAACCATTTATTTTGAACTCTTACACGTTCATCACGTGGAGTTGGAAGATCATCTTAAGTATCTTTACATGGTTATGAAGTTATGCAACTAGAATGAATCTTAGTAAGCACTTTGCCCACACTTGTGCCTTATTTTATAGAAAAAATAGTTTGAAGTTGAGAAGAGCCTGGCCAAGGCCATAAAACAGTATCAAGTAGTGGCAGGAAGGCCAGGGCCTGGCTGGGGACTCCCTTTTCCTAATATTTTTAAATTCACTTATCCTTTCTGCAAATAAAAGCTAAATATGACAACAGAAGTAATCAATCGTGTGGTTTAGAATACACATTTGAACAAAGCTATCTAAATTATCGAGCAGATGTTAAATCAGTCATAGACTTGTAAACTAACTCTCTGTGACATTTCTATTTTACAAATTAAAAAAAAGAAACAAAACACTAAATAGCAATGTTAGCACCTATAATTGTCTGACAATATCCTTCTCTTCCTTACCTAAACAGAATTGTATGAAAGAACTTACCACAGATAAATTCCAAGGTGGTCCACATGGGAGGTAGCCAGAAAATCTCCAGTAGGGGACATAGTAACATTGAGAGGAGCTGAGTCCAACAAAAAGCAGTCTATAAGACTATAAAAAGAATCAAGATGTTAAAATATTTAAACTCTACCAAAAGGATGTAATTCACGAAATATATTTTGTTAAAATAATATGGGATAAGAGATGTAGGAAAAATGCTTTTTTTAAATTGCCAGCACCAGAAAGATCAATATTTACAAAGACTTTTATCATCTAAGTTACTATGTGAAAATAATCTCTCTTAATGAGAAAGACCCAAAATACTAAATGGACTAATTAACCAGAGAAAGAGAATATAGGAAGAAATACTCCATTTTTCTGAAATGCCATTTTAGTAGACAACCTTGTGGGTAATTCTGAAGATGTCACATTTAAAATAAATCTACTATTAGTATTCTCTCTCTTTTTTATCCTAGTGAAAATAATAAGAGGCTTAGGCAACAGAAGAAATTAATAAAATGGCTGTAAATAAGAATAAAAAATTAGTAAGAGAAAAAACTTGAGCAATTGTTTTTCGAATAGGTAACCATGCTATACACGCAACATATAAAAAAAAATCTGTCTATAGAGCATAACCATAAAGTACTGCATGGAAATTAGTCACATAGCTTTAAAAGCTGGAAGAATAGAAAAGTTGGGGAGGAATGGGGAGCAATCACGCCCAGGTTCCAGGAGACTCAGAATAGGCTTCTCGCAGAATATAATGTTGGAGATGAGCCTTCCAAATGGACAGGATTTCAATGGATGTTGATGGTAGAGAAACGTATCCTGGTTGAGAGAAATGTGGAGGGCAAGACAAAGGAAAACACAATTGGGTCTCATGAGGAGTGCAGTTTGGTGCATAGGCATAAGGGTCTTGAATACCGAACATCTGAGTGTTTTTAACTTAATTAATAAAGAGTCACTAAAGGTTTTTGAGCAGATAGTGACATAATCTTCATTTTCATAAAAAAAAAAAAAATCTGCCATTGGAATGTAGAGTATATTTGAACAGGAAGAATAGTGAGGCTGTGGTAGGAATCTAACAAGCAATGAAAATCTGAACTAGGATGGTGACAGAAGGAAGTGACACAAGGTAGATTTAATGAGCAGAGCGAAGGCTGGCTAAGGGTGGAATACTTTGTATACTTTAAGAGGAGTATACTGATTTTAATTAAGACTGTTTTAAAAACTACTTTATTCACTGAAGCCAGTACATTATCCATGGGAGGGCACAGCAAAATGACTGAAATTCAGAATCAACATTAAATAAAACATTTCAAGAACAAAATAATAGCAGTTTTCTTTCTTTTTTTTTCCTTTTTCCTTTTTTTTTTTTTTTAGTATTCCATGCTAGGAAGTACTTTGAGCACTTGAGTCTATTAATTTAATCCTCACGACCCTATGAAGCAGATTCGTCCTTTCTATAAAGATCAGAAAAATGAGGCCCAATAAGATTTAAAAACTCACTCAAGGTAGAAAGCAACTGAGCCAGGACTGTCACTCAAGCAGTCTACACTCTTAATCACTATAAACTCAGTAAAATCACTACTGAAGCTAAAGGTAAAACAAACAGCTTGATAGCACACACACGCCCTGGGGATGTCTACACTGGTGACTCATGGTACACACTCTGAGTAGCTCAAATGTAAATGAAGACTCTCTAGTAGAGTTGCTAAGTGACTTGTCCATGATGAAATCTCTCTCAATTTGTTCAGAGAATGATTAACAATGTAAACCTTAAGTAAAGAATGTAAGATAGGAAGACAAGACAAAACTAGGAGCACTGAAAACAAACACATACCAAAGTGTCCTTAGGACAATGACCGCTGTTTAATTCTCAGTTATGGGGGAAACAGTGAGTAATAAACCTGTCTGATTTCTGCTCAAACCTACTCTAGAAGCTCACAAGAATGGCTTCTCTTGGGGATCCAGAGAATCGGAAAAAAGAATATACTGGTAAACACTTATTATAGGCCAGAGACTGTTAAATTATTTGTTAATACATTTAATCTAAAAAATCCAATATATAAAGATGCTATCCCAATATGTAAAGATGACAATTAAAATTAATAGAGCAATTTCAGATCTTACTATTTCTTGTCATAATATTTGTTCATTGAAAGTGTAAGCATGTGAGGGGTGAAACTTTCTAACATGTTTACAATTTGTTAAAAACAGAATCTACTGTTTGAGCAAATTTATTTTATGTGATACTATAATTGTTTTGTCAAATTTATTATGCAACTTGATTCCACAGCTGCTGTGTGGGTAGAATGCTCTTCCATTATGTAAAAGCCTCAAATTGAGGAAGGTGGTTTTCACATACACAGCATATTTTACACACATTAGTTCATAAAGCATAAATGTGTATGCAGGCCCAACCCCAGACTACCATATAGTGTCCTGCTAATCTCAGAGAATGAAAAATCCCATATAAGTTACATATATTTTGAGAGAAATTCCCATTCTAAGAAATCAGGTTTTCAAACACAAAGCCCTGCATATATCAGTAACACTCAGTAAATCATTTCTGATTATAATCTGAACAAATGTAGACAGTATGTAAAGTGATAGCATCGCTTTATATAGAAATCTAATAAATAGAACATAGGGATGGTTTTACCTCGGTGAGAAATGCAAAACAATGTTCTATTCTAATTATTCTCATGTAATACTTCTCAGAAAGCAGTGGTGAGAGAACAAAATGCAAAATTCTATTAAAACTATTTAATTTTATATTTTTCTCATCCCCAAAGAGTTCAATCTTAACTTCCAATAGACTGAAAACAATCAGAAATAAAAGGTGGTAGTGGTTAGGAATAATGGATAATTTCAAGGATACAAAATTTCAACTCTGCTTTTCTGAAAACCCTATAAATACAAGAATGTTCTGCAGTTTAAAACAACTTTACAATTTCAGTTCCAATATCCTGCCCAGCAAAGAAGAAATTAGTCAAAATGATGCCTGGAGGTTTAAATGAAGCCAAATCTGCCATTCTGGAAATCTAGGAGATTGCTAATGAGGTTAAACCACAGCTTGAAGGAAAAATAAATGAGAATTATGATGAATTTGAAGCTGTAGAATACAAAACTCAAGTGGCTGCTAGAATAAATTACTATAAATAAGGTAGGAGTAGGTCATACTTATTATATTCACATGAAAATATTCAAAGCTCTTCCTCAACAAAATCAGTCTTTGACACTTACTGGTTATCAGAATGACAAAAGCAAGACAATGAGCTGATAAGCTTTTAGTAGCATGTTCCAAAAGTGCTCTGATTCCTTTGCCTGGCTACTGATTAATGATTTCTGCTAATAAATGTAACTATCAAAAAAGAAACTTAAAAAAAATTTTTTTTTTTTTTACAGGAAATAGTTTAGTACCTATGCAATTTGTTTTAGGTAGGCACAATTCCAGATGGATACATCTGTATGTTACCACACCCAAAGGTTTACTCATAAATAGCTTCACTTTTCAGGCTATGTAATGAGTATATTTATTCTCTAAATATTTAACATGTTACATAAATGACAAAGCTGCTTACTGAAGAAAGAACTCGGAATCTCCAAAGGTTGCCTGCCATATTAATTATGGCTTAAAAACCAGGGGAACCAAAAACCCCAACAGTTATACATGGTTGTATGATAAAATACTGATCCTCACTTATCTTCTGCATCAAGAAAATCAGTTCATCCTTATAACATATGACACAACCTGAGCTAGGCTGATATCACAACTGTTGAGAAATCTGTTTCTTTCTCCTATGCTTACTGCAGCAAAATGTCATTTTCAAAACTATGCTACCTTAGGCAAATCACTTAACTTCTCTTTGAGCCTCCATTTCCTCATTTGTAAAATAGGACTAATAACGGTAATAATACCTACAGCCATTAGGATACAAGGGAAGATGAAAAATAAAAGCACATAAAGTGCCTAGCAGCTCATGGTGAATGTTAGCTTAGTTGTAATTAGGCAGCAGCAGTTGTGTGATATTGCTTTTCAAGCTTTCTCATTCATTCCACTCTAAATCTTAACCAAAGTAGTACTTATTTTTGTCTTTATTAAAAATATACTTTGGTTCAATTGGTGTAGATATTATTGCATTTTCTTTTAACAATCCCTGTGACTCATTTCTTGCTCTTATGTTTCTCCCAGCTTCGTGCCTCTGTATTCACTTAAAATTGCCTCAGTGTTCACCTAAAAATAAGATAGAAGAGTTGAAAATCTACCAAATTTAAATCTGTTCAACTTTTTACTAAAATAAGAAATTCAGCAAAAAGGCTAATGCTGAGTCAATGACTGGTAGCTTTGAATGCTTTCAGATCCTAATTTTTCTATTCCAAAGATAAACTTGCAACTTTAAAGAAATATTTTGCAACTTAGTACTATTGAACATTAACTTATCACTCCCATCCTATGTGAACTAAGACTACTAAAAAGGAAAATGAAAAAGGCATTATGTCGACTCTATTACTTGTACAACTTTCCTACTGTAATTAAAGCAATTCAAATTATAATGTTCCTTTTTAGAAAACAGCAAAAGTCTAAGAAGCAACAGACTACCAATATTCTAATGACTTTTAAAAAAGGTTATTTAAAAATTAAGAAAGTACCAACTTTAGGTGAACTTTTAAAGTCGGAGGACACAGCCAACTAAATAGATTTTGCTTTACTCAATTTTAAGTGAAAAAGAGTACACCTGTGGAGAAATTCCCAAGTCATGAGAGCTAGAAACATTAGCAACACTTTTGTTTTGCATATTCCAAATCTGGTGTGTATGGTGGATGAATGGCTGTGCCTCATTCCTATATCAGACTTGAAGGGAAATGAGTACATCAGGGTTTTTCCTTTCTAAAGGTCAAATTGCTTTTAGGTATGAGCTTATCCAATTCCTCAGAAGAGTATGTAGAATTGGACAGAGCTTAATTTAGAAATATTTCAGAAGATTAAAAAGTACCATCTTCCTTCTCATTTTTCTCACCAATGTCTTTCCTTATGGTATATTCCTGTTAAATTAGATACTTTGCTATTCCCAATACTCCTTTTACAGTTAATCTAAACAAGTCTATGTTAAGTGATATGATTTTAAATAGTGTCTATTCTTACATAATTTTTAACTACAAGCTCGCTCTTGCTTGCTTGCCTGCGTGCTCTCTCTCCCTACTGCCATGCATGTGCACGTGGTCTCCACTGTTCATATTATTTAACAGAATTAGATAATCTTTTCTCTTCAAGTGCTGTTTTAGTAGCAAGTTTGAATCTATGAAATAGATTTCTGAACACTGTTGGGTTTTACCCAAATCTTAAGTCACACGTTTTCATTACTTGAAAGTATCTAAAATGTTTTCTTTCAAGAATTATGTTAGAGACAAAAAATATATAATATACATAAAATTAGGACTTTTGACGTTTTTAACTAAATTCAATATGAACAAAACGATCAAAAAACCTTCAAAAGTTTGCAGTCCTAAAGTCTGAGCTGTATTTTGAAGTATCAAAAAGGCCAAATGAGTTTTTTTAAGGTTTATGCATCTCACTTCTGTATCTCAATTTTGCAGGAACAGAAAACCTAAGAGAGATTCCATTTTCCTCATTCTTATTTTTTATGGTACTACTCTCTGTCGTTTAAGAGATCAAAAACACTCCAAGGATAAAATACTATGAAGTTAGAAAAATCCCTGAATACATTCATATTCAAAGAAGCAGGTAAAAGACAATGACTGAGAAATCTTCTGATAGAGATTAGGGATTTAAAAACAAACTCACCACCCAGAAGGAAGGTCCCAAGTTCTAACAGAGCAATCCATTGAAGCACTTATTAACCAACGACCATCTGGACTGAAAGTCTTTAAATTAAAAAAAAAAAAAAAAAGACACAAATATAATTTATGTGTACATGTATGTATGCTTGTGTCTATATTTTTAGCAGCTTAGAAAATGCAAGAAATAAAATGATGCAGCTTCATGAAAAATTATGGTTGAGTAAAATTTAGTCTGCCTTCTTTCATATAAAAGAAAATACTATTTCTTACATACCACTGATTTGGATACAGATAAGGAATAAGTTTATACATGAATTATAAAAAGTTTTAAAAATTAACAATATCAACTATTTAAAAATTTTTACTCCAGTATATCTTAAATTTATTTATAGACAATTAAACTGACTAGAAATCATTTTTAACATAAAACTGCTATTCTGAGAATATTCAATTAGAAATACTTTGTCAGCCTAATTTTGGCTATAAAGCATCTGCAAAAGCAACAAAAACCACATTTTCTTGAAAAGAATCTATGTTAAGCTAACTTTCTAAGAATTAATCCAAAATGATTTTGAAGACAAGAATGCAAATTCTCTTAAAATATTCAAGTTACTAAAGAAGTCCTTCTACTTTTACTTGTAGCTTCCTTAATCGTTTTACTTCCAAAATATAATTTAAAACTACAAGGTTTCAAAATAAATTTAAGCAATAAACTATCCAGGCTACTTTAAAGAAGTTACATTTTTTTCTATCAATAAAAATGAATAAATAATAGCTCTTCTTGCCTGTAGCAAATAGGTGTTGTGAGCTTAAGCAGATCAGATGTGTAAGAATATCTAAAAGGGAAATCTTTAAAGTTATAATGGCAGTATGATAGTTCATCTAGGAAGCTAAGTATACCACAGGAATCATGACTATCTATATTAGCAAAAGGTACTGGGATAAGTGAACTCTAATTTGTTCATCAGGTTGCAGTAATACTGTAGAAACTCAAAACTTAAGGTATGGAGAGCTCAATTTACAAGACAGTACAGATATTAAAAGATAGGAAAAGTGACTCTAATAGGTAAAGTCATGTTATAAATGTTCACAGATTTAATTAAACAGGAGTGATATATTACTGAGTCAGAGAAACTCAAAACATACAAATTGAAAATGAAGTTTGAAAAGGAAACAGGAAGAGCAAGATGGCACTGACAGATGTTTTCAAAGATGCCATTTCATTAAATCATCCCACTCCCACCCTCACTTCTCTAGATACTGTCACAACAAATTTTGTTGATGGGTAGTTCTGCCAATCTCCTATCTGCAACACAACACTATTTCCGGTCCATTTTTTCCTCTGTTTTTAAGGAAATGAGTAAACGTTGTAAATTCTGATTTTGGTATGAGAACTAATAAGTTAAAGTAGCTATTGGGATTGCTGCTTAGTAGCCAGAATTTTCTTTTAATTTTTGTTTTCAAATAAATCAAGGTATCTGCAACTGATATGAAATGACAATATATACTTAATACAGTCCTCTACAGGCACTTTTTAAATTAGAGCACCTCTTACTATATCATATATCCCACAAAAAGAACATAATGGAAAGCTAAAACACATTATTAATTAACAATTTTGGAGTTAAGATATATAAACTTTAGAATAACATGAAACTAGAATAAACCAGATACCAGATAGTCCAGGTATCCTAGTAGTAATTCATTATGCATGTAGAAATAGAGAAATGAGTTCTCTTAGCCTAGTTTAGTATTAAGTCAAAAATGATATATTTCAATGAATCATTCATTCCCCAAAGTATATTTCGGTCTTGTTTAGAGGTTAAGAGAAAAAGGTAAATTCTAAGATTTACATTTTAATCTGACAGTATTAACTTTCCTGAGAAACATTAAACTTCTTTTAATTCTACATTTTCTTGTCTATGGCCATGCCACCCTGAACAAGCCCGATCCTGTCTGATCTCGGAAGCTAAGTAGGGTTGGGCCTGGTTATTACTTGGATGGGAGACCACATAGGAAGACCAAGTCCTGTAGGTGTAAAAAATAAAAAATAAGGGATTATAAGCTGACAAGGTCCTTGCAATCTGTGAGGTCAACTAAGGCTTGCTTCGCTTTAAAAAAAAAAATAATAATAATAATAATTCTACATTTTCTTTAAAATTCTCTTCGAAAATTAGTCTCCAAATTATTTATTTTAAACATTTCCTCATAAGATGAGTAGTTTAATGCTATTAAAAAACAACAGTGTACATTATTTGAGCATTTTTAATCTAAACAGAAGTAGAAATGACTCAAGTTTTGCTTTAAACATCTAAAGTTTGTTTTACCATGTCATTTATTTGGCCTTGGTGTCCAGAAAACTCTCTGACAATCTTCCTGGTTTCTATGTCCAGAACACTAATGGAGAAGTCATCCAAGGCGAGTCCCAGAATGCCACTAGCAAGATAAATGCACCAGTTTTAATAAACAAACAAAACCTTGAACAAAAATCTCATAGTCATTTTAATTTTTAAAATCAAATAATACCTTTGGGGAAATTAAACAAAATGCTGTTCCTTTATATTCAAATTCTGAGTTTTCCCCACTTGGTAAATTATATACTTTACTTAAATTAAGTAAAGTATCATTAAAAAAAAAACTTTACCTGTCTCTATGTAGCAGCATCATATTTGGAGTTGAACTGAGGCTTATAGAATGGATTAAAATTTTGTTTTTAAAGTTCCAGAACTTGAGTAATCCTTCACTACCAGTTGTAACTGTCAACTGGTTTAATCCATCCACTGCAACACCTCTAACAGACCCTTTATGAGCTTTAAAACATATGTTAAAAGAAAAAAAGAAATAATAATTGACATTGCTTCTCTGAATATTACAGAGTGATTCCTTCATTTAAATATCTAAGTTCCCACTATTTACCTTCCCTAAAATCTTGAAATTTATCTGGATTTTAGGGAGCAGGGAGATTATACTGCTTGAATAAAACCAAAGTCTAACAGGTTAATGCCACAAAGACTTCAAAAACTACTTATGATTTCCTGCTTAAAGCACGAATTTTAATTTGTATAATGACTTTATCCTAACATATCCATGACTTCATTCTCTTTGAGTATTTCAACATGCTGTTTATAATAAATGTAATGGCAGTATCTGTCATATAGGGTTGATGATAACCCATCTACAACTTCTGCAAAATGGCTGGAGCTCAAGAATTTAATAAATGTGAGTGACAGTTATTAGCCTTGTATCTATCTATATTGCTTTTTCCCAAATAAGAAAAAAAAATTCAATACCTTGATCCTTGCCAAAACTTCCTCGATGTATACCAGACTGCATGTTATATACATCTACAGTTCCTGATGAGAGACCAATTATAGCAAAATTTCCACAAGAAGTTATGTCCACTGCCTTAGAAAAAAAAAATTTAAACAAAAATGACATTATAAAATAACTAACATTTTATTGCACTTTATAGTTTCCAAAGTATTTTTTAATTTACTAATTATCTTACTTTTAAAAAAAGCATGATAAATTGCTTCATCAATTTTCTTAAATTTGAGTATATAAGAAATATCTACTTGATTCTATCTCCATTCTCTAGGAGGAATGAAGAAATTATTATCTGAGACAATAAAACATAAGTGAAGTTAACTGAAATTTACAAAGTCAGGCCTTCAAATTTTAATTTATTCAGAACAGTGCTAAAGTCAAAGCATTCCACTGCCTAATTACTTTACTTTTGAAATTGCTTCTACAGCTGATATAAAACTGAAAACACAGAATGTCCAATGAAAAAGCCCAAAACATTTTAATTATGACATATTAGAAAGGAAGCCCATAAAAGATTACATGGAAAACATTTAGTTTATAAACAGTTTCTATAAAATAAACTCATAATTTAATACTTAGAGTGTCAACATTGTATTAATGAGATGTCTTTTTTCCTATGTTAAAAACATGAGACTGGGTATGTATTGGGTCATGGCCAGAGATATCCCTGATTACCACTGTGTCAGTCAGATGTCATCCACCCAAGAGAAAATTCAAACAACTATTGAATTTATGCCTAAAGAAATCGATAACTTCTAAGATCTAAAAGAAAATATTTAATAGAGGATATTTAACTGCAAAGCAGCATAAAACTGATATACCACCACCTGAATCAAGACATATTTACATAGTATTCACATAAGTATGTTCCACTTACATATATTTTTCTAGGTAATTATTACAGTTTATTCCTCAAAAAAAATTTTACATAGGAAATTATGGACTAATCTTAAAAAGCATTCTATCTTCCTAAATAGAACATAAACATGATCTTACCTATTTTGAATAACGTATAAATGTTTATGCTATGTTGTATAGTTATGCTATCAGGAACTAATGGAGATACTAAGCTATAACCTACAAGTAATAAAGACTCCTGATGGCCTTGCTATACTTTTTGTAACTTGCATTTATTTTAATAAGATTTATTAGTGTGCCTGCTTCTGGCAATCTTCTTTTCTAATTGATTCACTCTAATCTCTTATCAAAGATGGGACAGGCAAAGCAAAAATGAATAAGCTGAGGGCATTACCATTGAATAACAAATTGTACTTTGGTGCATGGGCTCTCTGATAAAGACTTTTGTTTATTACTTTCTGGTCACTGGCTTTGTTCTAGGTAGTTGAGTTTGCCAGACAAATGACTCAGCACCAGTTAAGTACCACTGTATATACATATACTAAATATCAATGAGTGATCACTATAGGCTGTGAATTAAGAAATAGATCTTAAATTGAATGGTCCTGGTTCAAATCCCAACTCTGCTATTCACTAGCTTTATTGACCTCAGACATATTATTCATTACATTAAACCTCAGTTTTATCACCTATAAAAAGAGGCTAACAATAAACCATACTGTAAGATTATTGTGAGGATAAAATAATACGTGCTAGACAGAAAGCCTGGAACAAAGTAAGCATACAAAAAACAGTTAGCTATAATTATCATTACTACTACTGCCACTACTACAGCTACTCAAAACTGTGCACGTAAACTTAAGATGCTCAAGATAAAAATCTCTATGGTTTAGAAAATAGTATAAAAGTTTAAGGCTGGATTTTTGTACTAGAGAATAGAACATATATAATTACAAAGAAATCTGTACAAAATAGGATAAAATGTAAAGTTATACTTTTAATAAGCATTTTCAAAATTCTAGCTGCCTCCTTTTGCAGAAATTGATGAACTGATCCTAAAATTAATAAGGAAATGCAAGGGACCAGAATAGCCAAAACAATTTTGGAAAAAGAAGAAAAAAAATCTTCTTGAATTCAAACCTTACTACAAAGTAAAAGGTACCATAATAAAGACACTGTGGTACTAGCATAAAGACAGACACATAGAAAAATAAAAGAGAACTGAGAGTACAGAAATAAACCTTCATATTTATGTCAAATAATTTTTGGCAAGCATGCCATGACCATTCGATGAGGAAAGAAAAATCTTTTCAACAAATGATGCTGAACAGCTACATATCAAATGCAAAATAATGAACTTTGGACCCCTACATCACACCATACACAAAAACTAGCTCAGAAAGAATTATAGACCAAAATTTAAGAGCTAAAACTATGAACTTGTTAGAAAAAAACACAAGAGTAAATCTTCTTGGCCTTGGGTTAGGCAGTGATTTTTCAAAACCACAAGCAATTAAAAAAAAAAAAAATAGGTTGGATTTCATCAAAATTAAAAACTATTTGGCAGAAAATGATATCAACAAGAAAATGAAATGATGGTCCACAGAATGGAAGAAAATATATGCAAATCACATTTCTGATAAGAACTTGTATCTATATTATACAAAAAGCTATTACAACTCATTAATAAAAAAATAATCCCACTAAATAAATAAGGGGCAAAGGATTTAGATAAACATTTCTCTAAGGAAGATAAAAAACAGCCAATAAGCACATAAAAAGATGCTCATCAAGTCATTGATACAAATCAAAACTATGATGAGATTACCACTTCATACACACTAGAATGGCACTAATCAAAAAAAACAGAAGAGCCCAACTGGAGGAGTAAAGGAGAGAGAAGAGCTGAGAGAGAGACAGAGAGACAGAGAGACAGAGAGTCAGAGAGTCAGAGAGTCAGAGAATCAGAGAGTCAGAGAGACAGAGAGACAGAGAGAAAGGGACGATGCAAAAATAGATTACAAATGTAGGAGAAAATGTAGCTCAAGGAACAGAAGAAATTGCTCACAATACGGCATTAGATGATTTTTTGTTATTGTAAATTGCGTATTTTCATATATTTCATAATTGTTTGTTGCTACTATATAACAATACAAAGTTGAACATTAAAAAAAAAAAAAAACCCAGAAGATCACAGGTACTGGCTTGGATATACAGAAATTGGAACTCTCATGTATTCATGGTGGGAATGTAAAATGGTGCAGCCACTTTGGAAAACAGTTGGCAGTTCCTCAAAAATGTTAAACACAGAGCTATGTTATGACCTAACAATTCCACTCCTAGCTAATGATGCAGACAAACAAAAACATGTCCACATAAAGACCTGTGCCCTGATGTTCACAGTAGCATTGTTTATAATAGCCCAAAAGCAGAAACAATACAAATGTCCATCAACTGATCAACGGCTAACCAAAATGTGATTTACACACAAAATGGAATATTATTCAAAATAAAAGATATGAAGTATAAATACATGGTTGCCTAGGCTAGGGAGATGGGAAAGGGGGAAACTGAGAGAATGGGGCAGCTGCTAATAGGTAGAGTTCCTTTTTGGAGTGATGAGAATGTTCTAAAATTAAATTGATAAGATTTTGGTGATGACTGTACAATTAATTCTTTGAATATACTAAAAACCACTGACTTATACACTTTAAATGAGTGAATTATATCTCAATAAAACTTTAAGAAAAAGCAAGGCAACACTTCTGTAAACCAAATTTGAAATCTTTCTTTGTATCTTAAAACCTGAACCTAATACAAGGAAACTTAAATATTAACAAAAGAAAACAAAAATAAAATTTCAAAAGATGAGTAAGAACTTATAAGTAAACACTGGCATTTAAAAGCTACATTTAAAAAAGGCTTAGACAGAATTCAATCAGAATTTCTCTAAAAGGCACTTTTCACAAAAGACAAATATAAAAAAATGAGAAAAAAAGAGCTAATACTACTCATTAACTCATTAAATATTTAGCTAAATCTTATTCCTGTAGTAAAAAAATCAAGGAAGGAAGAAAGGAAATAAAGGAAGAATCCTTCAGATTCACATTCATTGACTATAGTACTGTATACTCAACATAATTCAGGTGAGAATGTATACTGATAAATACTGAAATTATCTTCAAAAGGTGTTCTGAGTAATCCTGTATTAATTAGAAAATTGAAATAACCAATATACTACATCTGATTAAGCAAAGCTTAATTCAAATAATTACTTGCACATAGGAAAACGTAACAATATTTCAAAATTTTAAACTATGTGCTTTCAACCAATATTATCATTAATAAACATGAGTATAATGAGATTACCACAGAACAGTTTTAAGGGAGAAAATACTCTTATAAATAAGCTCACTTACTGTTGCAGTTATGTCATCTTTCTTCAGCTCTTTTGGCTTGAGAAAGTAAGTGCCTATTGTAGATCTCTGATAGTTCCAAGTTGAACAAGATAGTTTACCTTGATGGCAGGCAATGATACCATCCCAGTCACTCTCACGAGCTTCCTCTAAAACATAATTAAAATCATATATTGAATTGCTTTTCATTCTCTCATTAATTCATCTATTATTTATTAAGCATCTAATATTCCATGTTATCATCAAGCACTAAGGAAACAATTATAAACAAGTAATTCTTGATAGCAATGAGCTTCCAATCAAACAAGATTCTAATAAGAAATTATGATAAAGTATGATAGTGTCTTATAAGAGCACTCAGGAAGAGTTTGCTAAGAAATGTGTAGAGAGTAATAAATGGCTCCCTGAAAGAAGAGTAAAACAGCAGTAATCAGCTAGGGGGTGGGGTACACATGGCCCTAGAGTGACTTGAACAAAATTACAAAATTAAGCATAGCAAGTAAGTGAAGCATTTTCATGAGAAGGGACAACTGGGGCAATGTTACAAAATGTCTTGAAAGCTATGTTAAGGAGAGTCTACCCTGAAGGTAATAAAGGGCCACTGAAAGATTTTTAAGACGATGAGTAATATGCTTTACATGTTTTAAAAAGACCACTCAGTTTCTAAGATAAAAAACAGACAGGAAGGTGGTTAAAGTTAAAAAAAAATAAGTCATCAGGTTGTTATAACCACCCTGAAGTATAAAAATGGTGTCTATACAGTTATTTCTATGACAGTTTTCATTCAACAATCCCATCACTTATGTTTTTCTTAAAATCACTTCTTTGAATGAAACACTGCTCAAATGACATGATATATACTAAGACCTCAATGTATTTAGATCTTTATTAGTCAGAACTCAATGTTCTCTGATCTTGCTTTTTAACATTAGTGACTTTAATTATACTGCATATGACAATAAACAGAAGTGCTATAAAATGAAATATCAAATATTGTTTATTAGTATCTCTTACAGAGAAGAGCAAAGCCTGAAATTAATAGATAACAAGTTCGAATTATAAATAACTCACTTTTAGTCTTCACAAAAGATTAACATGCACTTGGGGTTAACTATTAGATGCTTAATATTTGTAAAAATAGTTATCAAAATGGAGAAAATAAAGAAATACATAGTTAGAAATAAATGACACAGCAGAACTTCCCCAAACACAGTATGAAGTTACTTACCAGCTGCAAACTTTGTGATGGGTGGAAGTCTCACTGACATGGCATTCTGAAGTCCTTTACGTTTGACTCTCTTTCTATTTATTAGTCCTGAGGTTGGGGGAGAGGGGAACATAGCTATGAATATTCTTAATGAACATGTATATAAAAGAAAATTTATTCATTGTCACATAAGTGTAAAGTTCAAGATATTGCCATTTAAGTCAGGAGCAAAATAAAGATGATGTTATTACCACTACTGTTAACCGTTTGTGAAGTTTAGCCTATGAAATTATACCACAAGAAAATAAACTATGAGATATAAATAACTGAAAAAAGATAAAAATATCCTTGTATGATGGTCATACAGTGATGTCAATCAGGAGAAAGTCAAATAATTATTAAAATAATAGTTTCATTAGACCAGATACAGAACAATACAAAAAAATCAGCAAATTCCCTACAACGCAGCAACATTTTCTTTAGAAAATTATGTCAAAGTATGTAAAATACTACTGAATAATCTTAAATATGTAGGATCTACAGGAGGAAAACTAAAAAAAAACTTCACTGAGTAAATTAAAAGACAACTTGAATAAGGATATAGCATATTCCTAGATGTGAAAATTCTTAAAGATATCAAATTTCTCCGATTTAATCCTAAGAGAAATTATTCTGGATACTGATTTAAAAATGATCCTGAAATTCACCTGGAAGTATATATCTGCATGAATAGCCAGGTCATTAGCTTTAAAAGTAATTGTGAATAAAACTGAAAAACACTTTTTTAGTAAACAAAATATTTCAAATGTTGGAAACCACGGAAAGGGATAGAGAATAAAATGTGCCCTTTTTACAAAAAGATAGGACACTGCTTACTTTGATGCTTTCTCTAAGCTTCCCTCCATCTTTAAAATTCTGCAACCTACAGATGGCTCAGGTTAGACCATCAATGTCTTCTGGGTGGTAGCAGTATATTTTTACCACCCCAGATGTCTAACTCTTTCCAATAACCTCATAGCAGCACCTCAACCACTTCTAGAGCAATACTGATCTTGGTAATCTTACTACCTTTCCATACAAGGGTTTTTTATTTCTTCCAAGAAAGGAGGAGATTTATCAATGAAACCTCTATGTTGTTTCACAGAATCTTGAAACGTTTTTGTGATCAGCAGCTTTTTTTCATCTTGCAAATAACCTACCATGTCCCAAGCTCTTGTTAAATTTTTCATGTATCGTGGAAAATGACTGAAGAGTTCCATCTTGACCTGTTGATATATATAAAAAATGCCTAATCAGGCTTCATCAAAACAATGTACCATCTGCATCAGATCTTTAAACTAGATGCTGTAAAAAGCTTGAAGTTATTGTTTGGGACACTTTAAAAGAAGAGCCGTACTGCAACTACAGTCTTCATTACAGTATTCAATTGTGCACAGAATTCTGTTTATTAAGAACAAAGAATGAGGTACTAATAATTCTCAGCATATCATTTGAATAGGCAAGGGCTACATTTTCAGAATCTGACCATTCTGTCTCTAAGGATTATTAGTAAACAGAATGACACTCCAAATAAAGATAACATCTATAGTATTCAAAAAGAATTGCCTGTTTTCTTTGACTCATTTTATTCAGATTTCCAAATCATTCAAAAAGACATTTGAATCTAAAAATGTGTAAACACCAAACGTATTAAATATTAAGCACTCTGTTCTCAATACTTGCTGAAAAAAACTAACAGAACGAAGGAGAAACTCACTTGCACTAAGAATTTGTTGTCCATTTTGTCCATAATATCTAATTTTGGTAAGAGGAGCACTGTGTCCCATTCTGAATCTCAAAAGCCGGCCTTCACCTGTGGGACCATCAAATATCCATATCTGCCAAGAAATAAAAAGGTAAGGTTCTTCCACAATGTATAAATTGGTCTGAAAGCAATCAAATCACTTTTAACATAAAATGACTGGCACTAGGAAGTGCTTGAAACTGTAACTCTGTCTCACTTTACCGCAATAATGTAATGTAACCTCCTGTGATTTTTGTTTCAACTGCACCAGTATCTTATCCCACATTCCTTCTATCTTCTAGGTTCCAAAATGATACATTAAAGCAGACTTGTAATAGTCCAAAGAGTAGGACAGATGAGCCAGAAAGATGATAACAATAGTCATAATACCCTGAGAGCATTGTCAGCACCGTTTGTGACAAGAAGTGGTTCTCTATGGAGAAATGTCAGTCCAGCGATTGCTGTAGAATGTGCATTTCTCATTTGATTGATTAATTTTTTGTCTTCAAGATCCCAGAGTCCAATATGACCACAAGGGCTTCCAGCTGCCATTATTGGATGACCATCTATTATTAAAATAAAATACATTAGCAAAAACATGCAGCATAGAGTAACTAAACAATTCTCTGCTCCATCTTTTTAATCCATAAATACAAAGTTAAAACAGACTATACATCAAGAATCTATCCTTATTCCTTTGGTTCTTCATACTACAGTATGTTGTTCATTTCAGTTAGGTTAAATTACAAGAAAACGTCTATTAAGAAAATTTCTATGAGCTTTAAAGTAATATATTTTAAGTATTAATTAACTCTTATCAAAAATTAAGACTTACCTGTACGAAATGAAATTGAAGTAATAGGACCCCAGTCTTGACGAAACTTCATTAACGTTTCATCAAACTTAATGTTGTGAATGATAATCTGACCAGACATAAGACCAACAGCAATAACATCCACGGCTGGTGCCTGAAAATTAAATTACTCAACTTTTTAAATCTTCTCAAATAGCTTTAATAATCCTGATTATATGCATCATTACTTAATTGTGTTAGCAAAAGAAATTATGGATTATCTTCCTGAAGGTGGCAAAAAATCAACAAGTATTCCGGCATACTTTAATTGCTATTTCGCTTGGAAGTATCTAGGAATGATTTTTCCAAGTTACTTCCCAGCTTTAAATCTGGTTGTCACCATCACCTCCCTAATCCCAAAACACAGCCAACTTGGTAAGAAAGCAGCTATCATAGCAAAGGAAGCTCATGGGTGAAATCATTACAGATCATTCACCAGATGGAAACAGAAAAAAGATAGCAACTCTTAGAAAACATATAATGGCTTGCCATATGCATGGCAACATAAAAAGCCAACTATGAAAAAAGTGAAGAATTGTTTACTCAAGGAAAACAGAAAAAAACCTATAAAACAAAGCAAAAAAATTTTACAATTAGTCTGTTTCAGATCTAATAGCCCAAAATTATAATCTTCATTTTATACAATGGTCTTACATATAGGCTCTATGATAAGTTCCTCTATTATACAATGTCCAATACCACTGTAGAATGGAATTAGGCTAAACATTTTATTAACTGGCCATCATGTAATTACTATGCATAAGAATCTGTGTTGAAGCTGTGGATACTAAAACAAGTATCCCTTGCCCTTAAGGGCCCTAATCATCTGATACCTTTGGGCTCTGTCTTTTGGGTAGGCTAAAGCAGAGCAAGGTTGATGGTAATGAGAAAGGATGAAGGAACGTATATAAACTGGGCAGGTATAAGCAATGGTTATTTAGAAAGACAAAAGTACACTGGCTGTGTACGTGACCATTATATGTGTAAGATTTTCTCCATACTTTCATTCATTCATACAGGTCCTGCAGACTCATAAAACAAAAAGCAATTATTTCTGGAAGAGTCCAGCATTTAGTGAAATATTAGAATTTAGGCTCCAATTATTTCAAGCTATAAATCTCAACAATCCTGTCCTCTGTATGACCTACAATCCCTCTTGCTTCACTGAAAAAGTCATCTTCACTCTGCAGAAGGTACTGGACTACATGCTTGCAAAATGACCGGTAAACATCATTCCACAGCAACCACAGGTTAACAGCCTAATTCCAGGCAAAACAATTTTCAGAAAGGTTATAGGCAAAGGTTTTATTACTTATTTTCAAATACATCCCTAAAATATTACTTTTTTAGGGGAAGATTTACAAAGATAAACTAGTCTATGTATTATTTTGTCTTTAGATGTAGAAATATGATTGACCCCTGAAACTGAAAGATTCTAGTACTAACTTAATTTCCTCTTTGACTTACTTAAAAGAAAAATACTACCTGCTGAAGAGCTGTCACTCCAACTTTCCATCCTGGAAATGTATACAGAAGTTTACTACAAGAAGAAAAATAGTTGAAAGATATATTTTGGAGGAAAACAAAATTAACTACATATTAAAAAGTTAAATAATAACAAGTAATATTTACTAAATTCTTAATTCTGTTCCACACTATTCTAAATATATATTAACTTATTTAATACTTGAAATAATTCTATGAGGTAGACATTATCACCACTTTCCAAATAAACTAAGAAACTTAAAAATGTGAAATAATTAAGCTAAGGTCACATGACTAATAATTGATAGAGCCCAGAGAGAACAATTCCTATCCCGAGCTGCTAGTAAACACTATACATACTATGCCACCTCTTTAAGAAATTAGAGGAAAAAAACACATGAGTAAAAATCATTTTATAGTATACACTACAATAGAAAACAATATTAGCATATAAGTAGATCTCATTTTTCACTGTAATGTTTCTAGAAACTTATCACAAAAGGGAATATATTATAATTACAATACTACTCATGTGTTATATAACATATGATAGTGATACTGCTAAATTCTGGAATCAAACCAGGAATGACAAATAGATCCATGGAACAAACAGAGATTTCCGAAATTGTTATAATGATAATAAAGTACTAAATCATATATTAAATTCTGTAAGTGGGCACAGATTAGTTCACTCAATGATTATCCACAAGATATTTAACGTACAATAAAGAGTGTAAATGTCACATAAAGAGCCTAAAGAGGTAACAAGAGGGGCAGAGACAATATCTCAGTCATTATCCCTGACCTAGTACAGGAGATACTCAATATTTGTTAAATTGAACAGAAACGCTGATAAAACTAAAATCCAGGATTAACATTAAACTTTTGATAATCTTATCTTTTCTCTTAAATTTATAAGACATGTGGAAAGGACAATTTGGATGGCCAAATATTTTTGCTTGTCTTTTTAATGTTATACAATAAGAAGCCTCGGCTGCCACTTTTTTCTCTGGATAAATGTTCAAATAACAGGTAGTTATTCTAAAAACATTTAGCCTTCCAGTTACACCAATAATATTATAATAGATGTCTATCATGTTTGTGGTTGATGATCAAAGTACTGTTATCCTGAAAAATCATTCCTAGATGCTAGCACTAAATTAAAACTGATATTCCTTGCTTTCTCCTACCTTTTCGGTTTACTGAAAACTAGAAGCTGCCCAGTGACAATCTCATAATTATTTTCTGATCTATTACTTTACTAGAGCTTTCTCTACAGCTACATGGATTTTCTACAGTGACTAGGGCCTTTAATATATACATTTCAATGGGCATTTGTGAAGCTGAGTAACTACTCCAAAAACATGTTTATTTATTGAGTCTTCCAAGTAAACATAAAGGCAGGGAGAATTGAGAGACTTAAGTACACATTAGGGAGTAATTGATGAGGATAAGGTAGGAGACACCCGTGTAATGTTCTAAAGTGCTTACTTAGACTTTACATTCCACAACTGAAGGCTTCCTTGTTCACTTCCAAGAAGTATTTTATTCAAGTAGGTACTGGGATGCAAAATTGCCGAAATTTTAAATACTGATTTATCAAAAGTCAGTTGCAGGTATTCTTCTACAAAAGTAAAAGTTATAAAAAAAATAAATTTTTTTATAAAATATTTCAAAATATTTTTCATATACCCATTTATTTAGCACGTAAAGTCTACCACATCAAAGATTTATGTGGCAGACTAACTTACTAGCCTATAAATTTTCCTTGAGAATTAAAAAAATATGATGAGGGACAACTTGTAAAAGTAATTTAGACTCAAAATTTTCTACAAGTTCTAATATCAACTATTTAAAATTTCACTCACTGCTGAATTGATTTACAGAAATGAAAAAATAAGAACTTAAAAAAAATGACACTAGGGATTGGCCTTAATATCATTATAATTGTATCAAGAGGCAGAGTGAATATTCCAAATTAAGTGCTTCCTCTGAGCTCTTCCAGAGAGTGAAGGGCCAAATATCTAGAGAGCCTAATTGGCCACTTGAATATGTAAAAAGTAGGAGGCAAACTTTAATGAAACTAAGTGGCTTCTCACACATTTCCATAGAACCTCTAATAGAAGAGATGAAAAGAACTTATAGCCCTTTGGAGTGGAAAATGGCATAGCCTACTGCAAGATTAAAACATTTTTTGAAATCTTATATATGCTTAAAATCCTACGTACTTCACATACAGTTCATCCATGACAAAAACAATTTTTCGCTGTTTTCCAATAAATCTAAATATCAAAGAAGGTACATTTCATTTAATCTTTAGTTTCACATACTATCTGGCACACTGCTGCACACTCCCAGGGGTAATGTGTATCCCAGTTTAAGAAACATAGATATAGATGAAAATTATACAAAGTCTATTTCAATACTATTTTAAGAGAGCCTTCATTTGTAATTAGCAGTTTTACTTAAAATCATTACAAACAGCTTCCTGAAAACACTGGTTCAATGTGTTGCTGTAACAACAAAAAGCTGGGCATCAGCATCAATAGAAAGCCTACTAAACTCTAAGATTCAGATTCTTTAACTTTATAAAAGGACTTTTAACATCCTTCTACATAGGGACTACTTTTAGAATTCTGTTCCCTCTACTTGAGAAAAGACAAAGCAAAGAATAATAATATGAAGACTAAGAATAAAAAGAATAATTAATAAGAATTCTTATAATTAAGAATAAGACTAATAATTAGACCAATAACATGGATAACTCCCAGGAGAGCAACCTCTAGAATTTCTACTAAAAGAAAACATACTGCATCAAACATGAATTAATCAAGAGATAATGTAAGATAAAAATGTAAACAGATTAACAAACTTAAAAGCTTTAATTCATGATAGATCGTCTTTTACTGAGGAAAGCTAAGGATTAATTCCTAAATAACAGTCCCATAAACACAGTTCAGTGCCACTGTATATTACTGTTAAAGGACACTGACTCATCCTTAGAAGATAGATGTATATTTTCCTTCAGATTACAGATCTTCGAATTTACTATTATAATCTCCTTTACTGAAAATTGAAAACACAAACCAGGAATTAACAGGTATAAACATATACCAAAATCCACTCCACAGAGAAAATAATATAACACGTCACTAAACTTGGAGAACTGTAATGGAAAATGTATTAGTTGAGATAAACTAAACAGGGTATAAATAGCTCAACAGCTGACTAAAACAGTTTATTCATTTTTTACTTAGAACTTTTTTCTTCATACATGTTAATGATTCTTCCTTAAAATTGTTTTACTGCTTATATGTGAAACCTCTGGTATATAGAAGTTATGTTTATACAGGTTTTTAATTTTAACTACAAACATACTATCCCAAGATAAAGTAATAAATTGGTTTATTCTTACCTTCTGAATATATGTGCCAAATAATAAGAATGCTGTCAGTATCAACAGAGATAACGTGATCCCCAAAGGGTTGCAAAAGATGGATTTCTGCCTTATGACCCTTAAAGGTATGTACTACCTACAATGTCAAAGTTCAAAACAATTTCATATTACTCATTGATCATGTAATATTATTCATATTAACAACAACAAAAAGCTAATCCTTTAGATGCTCATGTTAAGAAATGTCGTCCAACATTTGATTATCCAAGGTTAGATTAACAAATAGCAAGGAACCAGACATTATCACCTTCTCCCCAAACCAGTCCAATAATAAGGAAGCATGGATTAGGAACACAGAGATGGACCTCAGACTCAGCCATCCAACCGAGCTTAGAGAGAAGGCACATACAGTGGGGTCCCTAACTCAATTCAACCAGCTCAACTCCATGCACGCTAGAAAGTGGTATGTTCTAGAAAGCTGACCTCTACAGACTCCATCACCAGTTGGCTTCCAGGTGAGATGAGGGAGGGAAATATAGGGTACTTCTTCCCCATAGCTTTCTATTTTAGGAAAGAAGTACTACATTTCTCAATAACGGTTTCAGTTCTCACTAGGCTCCAGTAACTCTTATTTCTTCTCCTTGTCCCCTTGGCCCTAGAGTGGTAACAGCTTCCTACAACTGACAGTCTCTGATGCCTTCCCACACCTACCTTCTCTATCTCCCAGGAAAAACTACAAACTGCAATATTTTGCAAAAAAAAAACCCACACATTTTTCTGACTATAAAAATCCAAACTCCCACTAAGGAACTCAACAGGTCAGTTGCTATACTCTGCCACAGACAGTGATGATGAAGACTTTAGGAACAAACGTCAGTCCAAGTCGAACCTTGACAAGTACACTGATTCTACCATGTGGCTATCTAGGCATCCTCACTGCCACTTTCCCTTTCATTCTGGACCACTAAAAGCCAGGTCACCAATTTAGCTGTCCCAGGAAAAACTTAGAAACTATTGGTATTTAAGACAAGAAAAGATTCTTCCTTAGCAGTGGAGAAAACAGAGAATCTAGATTTCCTTATATAGGGAATAAGTACTTGGTTCTTGGAAAAGGAGTCATGGGCTAAGTTGTTCATAATAAAAAAGCTGATTCACATAAAGCAGTAGTGCGAACATGAATCTCCCATGAAAGCATTTTCAAAATATACGTAACAAATCCTATCCAAACCAAATATACAAAGTAGAAGGCTCCATAGATGGTACCCGACTGCGCGTGAAAATTTTGAAGAAGCTGCCCAAATAATTCTGACATTAATCCCTGGGAAAGGAAATGGTATTAAAGCATCAGTTCTAACTGATTTTGAGGATTTGATGAAATCAGCTTTATCTTCCTCCAGAAAATTGAATACACATTAAAAAAAAAAAAAGTCCACATTCAGAGTGTCCCAGATGAAGAATGGCAACATTAAAGTCCCCTCCACTACCTCCAGTGTCATCACAACTACCTACTAACTCCAAAAGACAAACAAATTCAGACAGTTCAGTGATACAAACCTCTTTATTACGGGCAAATGCAGAGAAAACATTCCCATAAGCAGCAAAGACTAGCTTCCCATCAGCTGCCATACAGCAGATATCCTGTGGAAGAGAGTTACCTAAGAAAAAAATGTATATATGAAAGAAATAAGAATTTTTAAGATTTTGGAACAGAGACCTCAAATATACGTATAACATTTTTCATGGTTATAATTTTTAAAAATTATATATAATGAAAGCTGAGAATTAGGTATAAAATTTTTACTTCAACATTATTTTAGACATCTAATATTAACTATCAGATTAATGTCTAGTAATTGCTGACATAAAAATATAATTCTAAAGGAATGAAAAGAAGCTTTTTGAGGTTATTTGGAAAAAATCTTCACTTTAATACATAAAACTCTGGCAGATGGTGGTCATCCACTCTGAATGTGAATGCCTTCACGAACAACAAGTTCACAAATAACTCCAGGAAAATTTCATAAGTAAATCAAAACCTAGAACTCCGTCTAACTCTACACTATGGAGTATCCCAAAGAAAACTTCATATAATATTCTTTGCTGACCCTTAAAATGAACACTATGGTTTCCACCCAGTCTTCTCCAAGGTAAATATAACTATCACCTCTAACCATTTCTCATATGATATGACTTTTTGAGTCTTCTCTATCTTGGTCATACCGGCCTGTTTTTTTTTTTGCTTGTTTGTTTTGTTTTTCTGTTTTGAGGGCAGGAAGATTAGAAGATAAAAGCTTGTTTTAAGTATTTTTCATACTGCATATTACCCTTTGGGATTTTCTTTCCAAAATATTATTTTTATAGTTTATTATTCATTTCTGTATTCACCTTAGGTTACACTGTCTTTCTTCTGCTTTCTATAATCTTTTTTAAAAATGTAAGTTTATCAGACATATACACTGAATTCCTTACAGTTCTCCTCTGTTTCTCTTACAAATATCATATTTGATGGTGAAACTAGAATCTCTCAGCCCTGGCAAGTCCTTTATTCTATTAGTTTCCAAAAAAATAAATATTCCTTCCATTGGAAAAAACATCAAAACATGGGAAAAGAAAAAACTCTTCCTTACAGTAAAAGTAATGATACAATCATAAAATCACTATTTGGTAATCATAATACTAATAATTTATTCAAGAAAGAACCATCACTAAATGATAAAGCAGTGGATGAAACTTTGAAGAGTAATAGGATATTTATATAATCACGATGTATCTTATCACAAGATACTTATTAAGCGTAAAACTTTAAAATGGAGCCTCCTGACAAATGTCACCTTAACCAAATAATTGAAGTTATCACTGCCAGGAAAAGGACTAAACAACAGCATGTGCCTCCTGATATGATTCACTGAGAATTCAGCATCATTTCTTTGTTATTTTTGACATAGTGCATAACCTGAATCTAATCGTGAGGGAATATTTTTTAAAAAATCAAATTGAAGGATATTCTAAAAAAGAACTAGCCTATATAGTCTTCAAAAATGTCAATATTGTGAAACACAAAGAAAGTCTGACAAACTACTCCACATTAAAAACTAAAAAGACATGACAACTGAATATAACATGTGATCCTGTTGTAGACTTTTTGTTGTTGTTGTTGTTATGTAAGAATTCAGAAATACTGGATTCTTTTTATTTTCTGTAAGTCTTAAATTTACGTCAAAAATTTAAAAAGATATTAAACATGCATAAATTCAGGTTAAAGTTCACACTTACTTACTGCGACCAGACTAAGTTTCTGAACCTGTTTAAAAAAAGAAAAAAAAAATGATTAAATAAATTTTCATTAACAAAAACAATTATAATAATCTAACACTTGAAGATTAAGATATAACCTCATACATATGTTTGCTATGCTGTCCCTCCTTAAAAAACAAAAACAAACAAAAAAACATTTACTGACCCTAATTTTCATTATTAGGAAATCTATAGTTTCAACTATTTCATCAGGAGTGGTGATGGGAGGGGTAGGGAAACATTTTCTATAATGGGCTAAATAGTAAATATTTTAGAGTTTTACAAGCTTTGTGGTCTTTGTTGCAAATACTCTACTGCTAATGTACGAGAGCAGCCATATAGTACATAAACAAATGTTCAAGGCTGTATTTGAATTAACCTAATCTATGAATACAGAAATTTAATTTTCATATAATTTTCATATGCCAGGAAATATTAATCTTCTTTTGATATTTTCTCCAATCATTAAAAAATTTCAAAACCACCCATTTCAGAAGCACAGAGCTCAGAGGGGTATAAGTTAGAATTCAAACCCCAGAGATGCAAGAGTGCTAAGACAGAAAGTGCCCTTAGGGATCAATTAAATGTCCCATATTTCTTAAATGAGAGTAGACCCATGTCTGCATCCCATGCCAAAATTTGATTATACTACATCCTATTACTGTGCAAATTTTACTTGGAGGTTATGTTCTATTAGAATAAACACAAACATAGAAAAAAATAAAATAAAATGTCATGGGTCATATAAAAACAAATGGTGGGCAGGACTGGCTTGCAGGCTGTAGTCTGCTGACCCCAATCTATGGTTACTGATCCAGCTGTGTAACTGAGAAAGTTACTTGACCTCCCTGTGCCTCAAATCCTCATCTATAAAATAAGAATTAAAATAGATAACTACTTCATAGGATTTATTATGACTCGATGAGTAAAATTTGTGTAAAAGTTAGACTACAGTAACTGCTCAATGTTAGCTACTATCACCACTACCAACTCCACCTTGGACATGGCTCTCACTTTTCCTCTTCCACTAACTCAACAGGCTACTAACAACCAGCTCTTCTTTTAATAACCCACTTGATTTTCACATTCCTTCAAGGAATATAACTCTACAGCCCGGTTTTCAGAAAAAGTGCATAATTAACATTTGCTATTATCATCCTCCTCATCAAGAAAAGGCCCCTTCTTTCACAGAGCATACATTCTTCGGAGAAGGCAAAAAACAAAAACAAGACAAAATATATCAAACAGCAACAAAAGATTATTTCAATGACTGATGAGAAATTAAAGGAGAAAAGCCCTTCACTAGCAAGCAAGAAGGCCTTGGGCAAGTAATGTATTATTTCTGAGATTTAGTTTCCTAGTTTACATGGGGCACTATGGAATAATGATGTATACCTTGCAAAGAAATAGCTGCAAGGCTTAGAGTTAAGTGGCACCGTGCCAGACTCTCAACGTTGGTAGAAAATAAATGCTCAGGGGAAGTTTAGGGCAATTAGTTCGCTATCAACATGGACAGTCCCCTAAATCATAATTAATCTCATCCCTTTCAGTTCTCTCAATATGTTATTCCGAATTTCTAACCCAGTTTGTGTTACCAATTGCACAAAAAAAATCCCTTTGCAGCTCTTTTTCATTAAGAACGTGGGGGCTAGAGACTATGTTAATCACATTTACATCTTCAAGGGAATCTCAATAAATATTTACTGAACAAATATATTGCCATAGAACTGAAATATTCTCTAGTACTGTCCCCCAGCCAGACTGCCTCCTAAACTAGCTCCCAAGAGGACTGCAAGTTGCTAATCAGCACGTGGATGTGATACGGCAATGAAATAGGTAGGGCAAGAAGGGGTTAAGATAGAGAAAGGCAGAAAGCGAAGCCCTTTGAAGGTGGTGGAAGTGCGGGGGGAAAGGAATCGCCCCAGGGCCCAGCTGGGGGCCTGGGAGGGTGGTTCCCGGGAAGCGGGCGAAGGAAGAAGTCACTCACGTCATAGGTGTGGAAGCTCTTGCCCACGCAGGTCGTCACATAGAATCGGCGCTTTAGCGCACTGAACCGCACCACGTGTGGAATGCCGTTGCTGAAATGCCCCAAAGCCCGGAACCCCGCGAATAGCGCGCTGGCCGTGCGGCCCCCCGCGTCCTGCTCCATGGATGAAGCGGTACAACTACTCTAGACTCCAGCCGTTATGCCAATCGCGCACCCCGTTCTTGAGTGCGTCTCGTGGGGCAAAATTTGCCAGGGCTGCAGACTCACAAGCGTTTCCGGTGCCCGCTGCCAATCGCGTCAGCGGAGCCTGTCCTCAGTGCAATTGAAAAAGAGCTCCCTCCGGAGTTCGCAAGGGAGGTCGGATTTGCGTTCCGCTAGCCAGTCTCTAGCACTTCAGCGGTGATCGCAAGCTCTGATCGGGCACGAGGAAGCTGGTCACCTTTCTGCAGAACGTTGGGGGAGGAGAGCGACAAGGGAAGCGCGAAGTCCAGGAGCGTGAAGGAGGGACCAAAATCTTGACCCAAAAGGAGTCAAGTTAAACGTGTGAATATAAAAACGTATAAAACCACGAGACTAAGAGAAAATTTGAACATCAACTGGATATTTGATGATATTGAAAATATTTTTTTTTATGTGACAATAGTATTGTGACTACGTTTTTAAAAGTCCTTATCGTTTGGAGATGCATATCGACATAATAACGCATAAAATGATATATCTGGGAGTTTACTTTCAAAATAATTGGGGAAAAAGTGCTGGGTTTAGATGAAACAAGACTGATAATTGTTGGACCTAGGGACTGGGTATGCAACAGTTCATAATACTGTCCCGATGCTTCCAATAAAATTGAAATTTTCATAATAAAAATATTTTTGTTAGCTTTTTACTGAGTTTGTTTACTGAAGGAGTTAAGAGAGTTGGGCCCTTGTTCCCTGGCACACATGACGACATCGGCTGGGAAGAGTGAGCTGCAAACGGCCGCTCCCACGGACCTTGTTTATGCTTACCCCAGGTATTTGCCTTAGGCGTTGCACGCAAGCCAAGGCGCCCCACCCTGCCC